CTTTGGCCTTCGATGTCTTATAAAGAGGGTTTAATGAAGAGATTAATATAAAGATATTCTATTTTAATGTCCACATGACTCATAATGTTCCACAATGCAGATGCTGGATTAATAGACTAGGAGATGGTACTTTGTAAAAATTTGATGCAATTTGCTTTTAGTAAACTTTTAATACTTTTTTCTTCTTTATTTTTTTTTTTTGGCTGCAAGCAGGCTGTGTAGTAAAGATTGCAGAATACCAAAGCAAGTAACTCCTAAGGGGAGCTCTTCTTCTAAGGTTTGCATTGTCAGTGTTCACATAGTACATTTCTGCAAAGAAAAAAGTTTAACTCCTCTGTTTTCATTTGGCTACTTCAATTACCTCCATTCCTAGCCCAGAGTTGAGATTTTGCTGGCAGGAACTGGACATTGATATGGAAGCGGTCACTGATATGAGCCTGCACTCCGTTTTATTTCTCTGTGGTGTTGGTGGTTGCAGAGACATCTTGACAGCCCTCTTTAAAAGTCTCTTGGAAATTAGTATTTTTAAAAATTACAGAATTGCCTTAAAGTCTTTGTGGTGTCGACTATGTGTGAGGATGTCTCTGTACATGGAAATTATTTCAAATTAAGGAGAAGTATATTTAAAACGACAATAATTACTTTAAAATAGCTTCATATCTGGACATATTTACTACAGAGTAAATCTGCCTTATTTTCTGCTTTAGCTTAATCCACTTACAAAGTAGACAGGCTTATTTTTTCCACATATGTTGGGATGCGGGCAGAACGTGCAGCCTGGGAGAAGCCTCCCTCCGACTTTGGCATGGTAAAGCAGCACGTAAGGACTGCAGGCTGGTTTCTTCGAACACAAAGGGAAATTAACAGCTAGTGCTTGGTCAGGGGATTTCCTTAGCACCAGGGCTGTATGGTTCTCATGTCCCACGGTGAGATCACTGGCATTACGCCTCTGCAATTGAGATCACTATCTACATACTTACCAGGAGCAGAGGCAGAGAGGGAGCCGGGATGTTTTAAATAAGGTACAAGAAGCGCCAGAGGGAACCTCCCCTGCGTGGCAAAGCCGGTGGGTCCCTACTGCCTCCTGCCTGGGGGGCTCTCAGCCTCTGGCCACGCTTGGCTCAACCTCTTGCACAAAATAAACCAGTATCTGCTGGAAAACCAGGCTGAGCCCAGGTCTGCTTTGACAGTTTGATGTTGGGTTTCATCATGGAAGACAGTGGAGTTGTAGTGGGAACAGGGCACCAATAAACTGCCTTTCACTGTAGTTACCGCTGGCTTACACATGCAGCCTGGATTTGATCTTGACCACTTTTATTGATATTATAGTGTCTCATTTTCATTGACATTCATTTTACAGTAAGGTATCTGTCTTGATGGAAACAGTACACCTTTTCTGCAGATTAAAATTAATTTAAGATTAATAAAAATCAAAACAAAGAACTAATTGAGGGGGTTATTTTGTTGGGGTTTTTGATTTTGTTCCCTCTCCCCCTCGATATTTGTTTCAGTTTTTCTCTTTGTGTTTCCCATTTTGGCTGAAGTGAGCTGATGTACTGAGATGTGACATCAGTGTTGTGTCTGTTCAAAACCATGGTCTGTGGAAGCTCTATACTGTACCTGTTGTAAATAAACCAGATACTGGCCATTTATCCATGTGTCTGCAGCCCTCATTTCTCCCTCCCTAGGTGCTTTTGTAGGTCCTTGGAGCTAGCTGCTACAAACAGGCCTGTTTTAAAGTTCTCTGTAATTTAGGATCTCACTGAATGCATCTCTGCAGTGGATTCTGTCCGTCTGTCATGGTCTTCATGGCAGGTTGGTAATGCACCTGACTTGAGCGACTGTTGGGATCAAAAATGGCTCTTGTCCTTGCAGCCCTCATGGACAGGATAGGACGGGACATTTTATTTTATTGTCCTCTGTTAAGCAGCATTTCATCACAGTGATACCTGTTATCACTTTGCTCTTCTGACTTACCGTTATGTTATTGCTCCTTCCCCATTGCTGACTTCTTTTTCTCCTTTTCTTTCATTCATTTTCTTCTAAGTGAATTAATTTTGCACTAAAATATCACTTCTTACTCGAGAGGTAGAGATAGTGGTGCAGTAATGGAAATGAGTGACAGCACCTGTATGCAACATGTGAAATCCAAATGTCAGGTTGACAATGTGACGAGAAGGGAGGAAGCAAGAGGAGGCATGAGGAGGCAGAAGAGGAGGAGGAGGTACTCAGGCCCAAAGGAAAGCAATTTCTTTTGAGGGAATTCCTTTTGTTGGTGTTGGAGTACGTTTTTTTCAGCTATAGTGAAATAAACTGAAATGGAAATGACTTACTTTTCCTTTTTTCTATGGATTCTATACCCAAATGCGCAGGTGAAACAGGATGAAAGATAAATGGGGAGGGAGAGGTCTGAGGAGGAAGCAAACATTGTATTTGTGCAACTCACTCTATCATGTGTCAGCGGGATTTTCAACGTAGTTTATGGATTAACTAAACTTTAAACAAAAGTTACTTAGTGGGCTTCAGCTCATGTTTTTGCCTTCTAGATGGCGTTTTCTTTACAAGTACATATGCAGTTGCCACATGAAAAATTCACACATGTAGCTGTCGTGGCCAGAAATGGCCTTTCCTGCTTTTACACCAAGGCAGTGCCAGTGCTCCCTGTATGGATTTAAAGCTGTTCAGCCCCTCAGGAGAGGCCTCAGAATGGCTCTTGCAGCGTGGACTCGATTGAATGAAGAGGTGTTTGCTTTTCAAGAGTTCATTTTTCAGTGTTGAACTTCTTGAGCAAAGAAAAGCTAAAAAAATTGTGGTTTTTTCAGATTTGTCTGTCATCTTGCAAAGAATATTGCCCTGTTCCTGGTTAAGAGACCTGTCTCCTCTCAGCACGCCTTTGGTAAAAGGTGTTCATGTTTTCATGTGGTCTAAAATGCTGAACAGTGGGGACATACTGGTCCCCCTTTTTATGGATGCAAAGCATTCAGGCAGTGATTTTTCACTCCATGGCTGAAAGGACTTGAGATGATATGTCCTTGCCAAATGTCAAGCGTATCCGGTCATGCTGTGGCACAAGGGTTGCTCACATAGAGGTGACAACGACTTGTTTCACACTGAGAACATTTATTTTTCTTCTTCTTTAAAATCTTTATTTCCTGGCTGCATTTTCAAAAACTGCAAAAACATATTTTTTTCCTTTTTTTTTCCTGCATCACTAACAGAGAACAGACCAGGAAAACATAATCTAAAAAGACCAAGTCTGGTAAAGTAATAAACTATTAAAAAAACCTGCCCAGAGTGGAAAATTTACCCAAGTTTTTAGTGTCGGATATAGCTTTAATTTCTAGGCTTAACTATTGAAAAAAAATATAGGCATTTTACTATGAGTTTGTTCTGAGAAATATTTTCGGTGGAAACTGTAGGACTGCATGTAATTATACTGAAGCCCTTTAGGAAAGCTCTCGGCGAAGTTTTATTTAGCTAGAATTATATATTTTAGGACACCTACATGCAAGGATATCACTGTAATAGGAATTAACTTTCAAATACTTGCAAAAAATTCTCACTCTGTGTGGATGGGAAGAATCATGTCGTTACCCGAAGAGAACAGAAATTCATGTTGAATTGTGCTGGAAAGAACTATGTACTTTAGAAAAGGTGAAATCTATTTTCCTTTTGAAGTAGCTGTGAAGAAAGCAGCTTGTATCAGCGCTAGTTCTGTGTTTCATAACCCTATAAAATATGAGCTTGTGTTGTACAACAAAGCAATCCCCTAAAAACCTAGAAATCAAAATAGTAAGTCCTTTGATAGATGAAAGTCAGCATCTTTTTAACATTTGTTATCTATAATATTGCCTACGGACACTGCATGGTGGCAAAATGGAATATTCAGCACCGTTTTCCCTGTACAAATACCTAGCAGCTTCTTCTAAAAAGCAAACAGAAATTCATCTCTGTCGCCTGCAGACCACACGGTGCTTCATATGAAAGATTTGCCACCCTATCCAAAAAACCCGCATGTGATATTTGATCCGATTCATGCCTCCCCCAAGCAGTTTGCTTAAAAGGCCTTGGCTCCCCTTTGGTGAGAGGCCACCCTCCATCTTGGAGGGGTGCGTTGGGCAGCCTGCGGCTGGCGTGAGGGCTCACAGGCCGGATGGTGGCCGCCCTGCCGGGGCCATCCTGGCCGGTTTTGGCTCGCTCGGTGGTGGAAGGGCCTTCCTGGGGACGCAGGAGGCCGTAGGTCTCAGCAGCCCTGAGCAGAGGGGGTGTGGGGAGCATGGCCTCCCCTCCGGCCCCTGTGTTGCCCTGGGTTAAAGAGTGCTGGTTGGGGTGGAGGCGGTGCGGGGCTGACCTCTGGCTTTGGCGGGAGAGGGCCGGGGTGGGTGGGAAGAGCAGGTGGGGGTGTTTTATGCAAAAAGTTGCCCCCTCCTTCCTTTGGGGGCTAGGGCCCTGTGATTTTCGACAGGGAGAGGGCTCATCTGTGCAGGTGAGTGAGGTCAGCCACCTCCTGCCCCATCATCACATCGTCTCTGCCTGAGCTGTTGGCCGTTTCCCCCGTATTACTGGCAGAGGTCTGTCTGGCGCCATTCGAGGTGTTTGCAGGGTATCATGCTGCCCATGGAATTTTTTTCCCCTGTACGCATGGAGTAAACCACCCCTGAGCTGACGGGTAACAGCTGTTACCTTGCTTGGTCACAAACCTAAGGTGACAATTTTAAAGGACGGATTACTACAGGATTACAAAATGCATGCAAGGAGAAGTGAGAAAACTTTCTGAACTGGGTGTTTGCCTTTTGTGTCATTAACTTCAGTCTCGTGCGGTAAATAACGGCAGATGCCCTATAGTTTTTATTTCCATACAGAGCTTGATTTTAGGATTGTTCACTGGCCAGCTTAAGTGGTCTGTCAAGTGTACACCTCTTTAAAATACATTTTAACTTTTTAATCACGTTACTATTGGGAACTAACCTTGCGTTATTTCTTTTTCTTCATATAGTTTTCCCTACACAAAATGGAAAGGTTGCTATAGTGACTGGTGGTGCTAAAGGAATTGGTTATCAAACTGTGAAGCATTTGGCAAGACTTGGCATGCACGTTATAATAGGTAAAGTGATTATTTTCTTAATATATTTTTTGTTTCAGAAAGTAATTTTTTTTTTTTCTTTTAAGGAGTATTTTCTTTCCAGTACAAGTAAATGTATGGCAGGGGAAGGAAGGAGGGGGAAGGGGCCAGGGTTTTAGTAGCGTTTAACATAAATAAAGATTTGGTTTATGTTTTGCTCTGCAAGATTTTAAAGAAAAGTAGATGGGATTTTTTTTAATGCAAAACTTTGAAAACTTGAACTACCTTACATAAGAAGTAAACAATAATGTAATAAAAAAGACTTAAAAATATAGGTATCAAAAATATTTCATTATCTTATTACTGAGGATGGTCTATGCTTCAACTTTAGGGTGCACATGTTCGTTAAGAGGAAAATAATTTCTTGAATGAATATTCCAGCGTGTACTAAGGGATGATCCATGTTAGAAGGGCAGAGGAATTCCTTATAATTTCAACCATGTAAAAACTGCACATTTACTTCTTAGTTTGCCACTGTGGGTGCCCTTCATAGGCAAGACAAGAAAAGAAATACCCTGAGAGGTTCATTAATGTCAGTTTAAGATGGGCCGGACAACTTACTTTCTGGAGATGCCTCTTTCTTTCCACTGATAATAAAGAGTTTATAAGATGACTATGTTATATGGAGATGTCTTTTAGACATCTGAAGTTAGGATAGGTAAATTTCTGTAGGAAGTCCAAAAATATCCTGAGTACAGAATTTCTTTTCTCTACTACATACAATATTAGTGAGACTTTTTTCCTATTTTCTAAAGCTTTCTGTACTACATACATATATACTAAAATATCTACTAAATCAATATGTAACATCATGAATACTTATGTTTAAAATGCTACATTTTGCTCCCTTCATCTTTCTTTCACTAGATTTTTACCTAAAACACTGTAACTTTTACACCATAAGGTCACTGAAGGTTGGTATTTCATAATACACCTAGCAAGCTGGTGATGCCTTTTTATTTAGCTTTTATACAGGATGTGCTCTCTAAGGTTTTGTATACACATCTTAAAAAAAAAAAAAAAAGAAAAAAAAAATAAAGACTACACCAAACAATAAACAAGAGAATAGTAGCCATGTATTTTTAGTCTACTGCAGTCAGTAACACTAATGGAGTTGCCCTGGAATTGTACAGGTGTAATGCGGAATACCACTTACTCATAGATGTTTTAATAGATGTGTCAAAACCAAGCATCTGCAAAAATGCAAACAGATGCTGCTATATGTAGCTAGATGTTGGATGTAGCTAATGTAGCTAGAAGTAGCTAATGATGCTAGCATTAAAATTTCACTACAGAAGTGTCTTTTCATGTTTAAGGCAGATTGCAAAAATGTACTCAGTGGGAAAACAAAAAAGGCCAATTTTCTTCTCTTTGCATAGCATTATGGAAGCATAGAATATTGCTACCTTTTTGAAACGTATACTATTTAATGTTTAGGTTATTTCATATAACAAAATTCTGTATGAGATTTTTGGGAAACGGAAGGTGATATATAATTACAAAATCTCTAAATAAGCTGATTTTTTTCAATTCACAATCACCCTCTCATAGATCTCATTCACTCAGACTCACACCCATACTCTCACAAGCACCAAGCTGTGAGTGCTAAAGTGGGCTGGTGAGAATCACTTGTGTGCAGCGCAGGAAAATGCATGCCAGCTACTGAGTTCTTATCTTGTGTCTGTGGTTCATGGGCACATCTTTTATACCCTTTAGGAGTCATCAGCTCGTAGTAATTTTTCCTTATCTGGAGTATATAGGCTATGTCTATAGCCTATTTTCTGGGTGGGCTAACAGGAAAAGTAATGGTATAGGTGATATGCCACAACCATGATAGTATCCTCATGGTGTCAGAGTGCATGGTCATCTGCTGGCAAGTCCTCTGTGCTGTGGCCTTGCTATAAACAATACGGGAATGGTGTCCTGGAAACATGTCCTTTATTTTCAGTAAGGGGCATTTTTTTAACTCTTTGCTCTGTTCTTTCTTCTGGTGCTTACAGACACACACATTTCCACTCACTCTTCATTTGTACCAACCTTAACATTTGCATTATGAATGTCTACAAATGTAAATTAATGAAATTAATGATAGGAAGCATTTGATGAGTAAGATTTTCCACTGATTGAATTCTTTCAGGCAAACTCTGACCTAAACACTGTGCCCGGTGAGTCAACCATCTTTGCCTGTGAAATTCTTCAGAGCAAAGAAGGCCTGTCAGTGGAATGGATAGTCTCAGGCTTTGTTCCAGCTTCAAGATTAAAAAAGTCTCAAAAACACATTAAATGCAATGACCTTCTATCCTTGCTGCTAACTGTTGGCCCCAAGTGTCCAGAGTATGCCTAAAATACCTGCTGGCACATTGGCACGCGTTAGCACATTCAGCTTCAGGGCACACAAGCAAAGATTCAAGCCTCAAATAAGACAGCAAGTGGTGCTCAAGCTTTCTACTCTAGAAATGTTTTCACCCTGTATATAGGCATGAACTTATGTGAAAAAAAGTGTGGATGTTAGGTGAATTTGGGCTTGCACGGCAGACTCGTGTAGCTCAAAGTCAAACTTGCCCATTCACTGAATGCTTCTTTCCCATGACAGGGAATAAGTAATGGGAATACTTAGCAATAAGGAATGATATCCCTGCAGCAGGCAAATGAGTCAAACCTGAATGTCTGATGTTACGATGATTCACCATTTGTGGTGGATGTGATTTTGACTCCATTTCACATTTTAGAGGAGTAAATGTTTGAAGTAACTTACTTTTAAATCAAATCTACCAATGGAATGAGGAAAACAAATAAGTAGAAAGCATGTTACTTTGTGGAATGTGAATAGGCACTGTATGAAAAGGCAGTGTGCTCACTCAGAGCATTTTCAGCAAGTGATTGCACAGTGCTTTTACAGCTTCTTCATTTCCAGTCCCAGCACTGATGCACAAGACTCCACTCTCCCACTGACAGTCTCCCTCTGGGGATGCTGCTCACCCTGTCCTCAGGCTCTTGCTGGGAAAAAAGGTTGGCATGAACGCTGAAATGATGAAAGTCATTTTGTACAGATTTGTTTGATTGATTTCATTGAGACTTTTTGCCAGGCTGCGATAGCATTACTCACAGCGAGCAGGGCCTTTACTTCAGGAAAATCTCATGACAGACAGCAGACCCCTGGTAGGGAAA